TTTATTTTATTTTATTTTATTTTATTTTATTTTATTTTATTTTATTTCTTTTTATTTTTTTTTCATTTTTCTTTCATTTCTTATTTAATTTTTTTTTTTTCTTTTTTTTCTTTTATATTATTCCATTTTGTTGTATCCTTTTTCTTGTCTTTTGAATACCTCCAGCAAAACGGAGCAAATCAAAATTATCAACGATGTGGCTCTCACCGATGTGCCTAAATATGTAAACAATCCCTTGAATGCGCTGACAATGCTTAAACGATTTACCTCCGATTGGCATATTTTGCAACAATACGCACACAACGTTAACAACACGAAAAGTGAGTATCCGTATTGCCAGTTGAGCATTCTGACATGCCTGCAATTCATGTCTACAACGATTGCCAATCAATGCCAATGTGAGACGAGAATTCCCTTCCAGCCTCATATATAATCACAGTCAATGCTGCATGTCAATATGAGTCACATGCATCCATATATATGTACATACATACATACATACACACAAAAGAATTTATTATCATTGAAAGTACTGTTTGTTATTCCTTACTCATCCATGCCTATAGAAATCGTCCAAAATCTCACAAATACTAGAAAGTCATTAAAATTCCCGAGCGAAAGTGATTTCGATGAGGCAGCCGGCAATCTACTGCGTATTCAAGGAATTTACCAGCTGCAGCCGGAGGGTCTAGCAATGGGCGAAGTTAGTGGTGTGAAATTGGGGTAAGACATCTTGCAAGGACCTTAACATTGAATATTCTATTAAGAAGTAAAAAAAAAACGGATAAATCGCGGCTTAAGGCACTACATACACGTACATACATTCGTATATAATTTCTCTGAGCATGACTGCTGGTTTCTCATACTTACTTTTGATGCTTTATTTCATGTTCCCGCAGCTCAACAATGTCCTGGAGCGATTGTCTGGAAATTGGCCGCAAATCAGTACAAAAAGGGGATTTTATGATTGCGAAATTTTGGATTGAGGCGGCATTGGGAAAGCTGCCTAGTGAGGGAACAAAATCAGCGATAATGAGCGCAAATGCTTCGAAAGAGATGCCTACTATAAATGGCGTTGGCAGTAGTGTGATAGAGAAAGCGCGCTTAGAGATTTTGGAAGCGCTGGTGACAACCGAATTTCGTATGGGTGAGTACGTCTAA